CGGGAGCTGGAGAGCTGCTCGGCTGTGGGTAGTACTTCAGACGACACCGAGGTCAGAGAGGTCAGCTCCCGACCCAGCACCCCGGGGCTCAGTGTTGTTTCAGGTACACATACACAAGAACCTAACTGTCTAAATGCATTCAAATGAGCAATCGCTGTCAGTCTGGAATCGCAGAATTGTGCAAAAGTCAACTTGCAGAATTCAACAATCCAAAGGTTTTAACATCTTGCTTGTCACATTTGAATGTTATTCTCTGCCTTGCTGAGTTCTTTATTCAGCGACTCTTCTTCCCTGACATGCTGATGAAGACAAATAGCTATGTAAGACAACGGCAAACTCCCGAAAGACTACTTGTGGGGAGTTTTCCCTGAGGACTTTGGCAGATGGATCGCCTTTCCTTACTCCTTCGTTCAATCTTGCCGCTTCCATCTCTCGTTCACCTACTCTGACCTCCCTGGGGATTCTCCTGACCTCTTTGTGTGCTCAAGGGAGCATTGTCATGGTTTCCCCGCTTCCATGAAGATCTTGAAATGAGATTGGCTGTTCAACATGGCCACCACTCCATCACTTACACGCTAGACTTTTGCTTACTCTCTGAACTATTCTGGAGATCTGAGAGATATATGCACAGTCAAACTGTAAGCTCAGCAGAACAAAGCAGCAGCAGAACAAAGTGTTTTTTTGTCATTTGTTTCTTGTTTTAGAGGTAGTATGTCATGCCAAAGTTTCCTCAAACTACTTCACAGCTTCATAGGTAATATATTTCCTTCTGTGATTTATAATTGGAGGCTCTGTTGATTTGTTACATATTGTTTGTGCAGGCATCAGTGCCACGTCAGAGGACATCCCCAATAAGATTGAAGACTTACGCTCAGAGTGCAGCTCAGATTTTGGAGGCAAAGACTCCGTGACCAGCCCAGATGGAGAGGACTCTGCTCATGGTACCAACACACAATCAAGTGACTGATTGGGCACACACACACATACACACACTCACTCACACACTGTGCTTTGTACTCAGAGATGCACTAAGAAAGTTTTACTCCTAAAGATGTAAATATATAACACAAGTAGAGCCTCACTGTGGCTGTCAAGACGTCAAGGTGGTTATCATGGCTGTTATCCCTTGCTGGGAAATGATTCAACTGGATGGATTAAATCGATCAAAAGTAAATAAAGACTTAGGAAACAGTTATTTTATATTGATAACATTACTGTTTTACTATATTTTGAACAAATAAATGCACCATTGGTGAGCATTAGAGACTTCTTTCAAAAACCAAAAATGGCTAATATTATTGGCCAATGGCCATAACATTTTATATAATCACTGGCTCTTAGCGGAGGGTAGCAGACAGCATAATGCATAATGCTGACATATCAGTTGTTTAAAGGTGATAAGAGCCAGCAAAACATATAATAACTTGGTGCATCTTTAAGTTTTGTTAGGGTCTTAAACACATCTATACAGGAGTATGTCAAACGTTTTATCTTCAGACATTGTTTTTTTTTTATTATTATTAATTCTTATCCTGCACAGCTGTTGAATATGTTTCTTGGGATTTCTGGTGTGGGACTAACATGTCCTTTGTCAATCATTTACGTTATCCCTTTATGCACCCCCCATTCTTCCACCTCTCTAGGAGCTCACAGTCTATCCTGTGCACCCTCTCAAGCAGATTCACTGCTGGCCATGTTCGATCCCCTCTCCTCTGGAGAAGGTAATGTCACTTCCCAGCATGCACTGCTGTAGAATGCAGTACTTTCACATGTAAGAGCTAAAAAGGAGTGCCATTAATGTACCTAATGACAAGAGCCCACTAAACAGCGTGTGCGCTGTGAAATAAAGCAAGCACTTGCCAGATTTCTATCCTATTATGGCCCATTCTAGTAGAATAGAGGGTTTTATTATATTGCTGTTCAAAGGCTAAATTTGATTTGTGTTTGTCAAAGCCTACAAATCTACAATGGAAAGTTGTATAAATGTGTTGGAGAGACATTGTGAGAATACGTGTGTGGGGCAAGGTGAGGGGATGACAGGTTGCTAGACCTCACTGCAAGCGTTTTGGCTCAGTGGCCTGTCCCTACTGAGCTAGTGGCACAGGGCTGGCATTGGAAGGCACACAGCAGAGATGCTGTACCCTTGGAACAGGTGGCCTACTTTCACCTGAGGTCTGTCTGACTCTGACAGCTCTCTCAAGCTCTCTCGCGCACATGCACACGCACACGCGCACACACACACACACACACACACACACACACACACACAAACAAACAAACAAACAAACAAACAAACACTCCTGCTGACAGTGCGCATGCAACCTTTTTTATGAATGCCAGTTAAACAGAAGTCATGTCACGACCCTGGCTCTAGTTTTGTTTATCAAAAACTGGAGGTTATGTTGCAAATATCAATTTGCAAAAACGTTTTTCTCACAGGTATAGAGTTTAGCCAGTGACATGATTAAATACAAAAGCAAAGACCCTCTAAATTTGGGTCAAATGTCTTTGCAGGTTCATCCACTGGCACCATCGTGCGGCCCAAGGTGCACTATCCCCGGCCCCCTCACCCTCCCCCTGACCCGCCTATTCCAGAGGCCAGCATTATGGGCCACCAGGAGCCTCGTCCACCCCTCTTCGCCCCCCACTTGGTGCAGAGTGACCTGGAGCATCCCAAACAGAGGCACTCTTACCCTGAAAGGCTGGTCAGGAGCCGCAGCACAGATGTGGTGTCCGCTGGCCGCAGACCCAACAGTGATCCCGGACTGAACCGCAGGACCATGATGGAGGAGAGAGACCCGGCTGGGGCTTATTCCACAGGACCCACCTCCTCTCCCAGCAAGGATTCTCTCAAAGGAGAGGTGAGAAAGATGGTTTTGTGTAATCAGTATTATTTATTATATATCTATATTTGCATTACAGCATTAATATTATAATATATAAAATAACTGTTTTCTATTTTATTATATTTTAAAATGTAATTTATTCCTGTGATGCAAAGCTGAAATTTTAGCATCATTACTCCAGTCTTCAGTCTTTAGTCTTCAATCATTCTAATATACTGCTCAAGAAACATTTCTTACTATTATAAATGTTGAAAACAGTTGTACTGCCTAATATTGTTGTGGACACATTTGTTTTTCAGGGTTCTTGATTAACAGAAAGTTTATCAAAAATAGCAGCATTTATTTTAAACAGAAAACAGTATTTATTTTTATTTTTTTGCTGTCATATATTAGGAAATATGCCTAATTGGCATGAAAACGTCACAATGCAAAATATAGGCACCATTGTATGCTAACCCTGGTGGAAGAAGCGCTTTGTTCCTGCCATTCCTAAAGGTGAGAAGCCCAACTCTTATTTCCTGAAGGTTTTTTAATGGGTACATGTCTGCTTTCATCCTGTGGATCAGTGGTCAATGGCTAGAAAATTGCATTTAAATATGGAAATAGCTGGTATAGAAAAAAAACATTCCTTTTGAATAGGGGAAAAGTGCTGATGGTATCTGCTTCTGTTATTGGTTCAATTGGAATGATGGCAATACAATTAAAAACATTAATATTGACTAATACTGATATGGTCACTGCTGTAATGTGCATCCCTACTTTATAAGTGTGCAAAATTTGAATGTGCAAAACTTTAAATGTGTATTTGGATTATTACATTTGTGAATCAGTATTTCTAATTGGAGAAGAATTTGTCTTTCTGATTTTCATCTTTAAGAACACAAATATTCATTTTAAAAATCAAGGGTTTTCTATTGACTGTTCTTTTCTTTTAGATGTTTGATCATTTAACAGGAAAGATGTTTTGAATGGAATTACCATGTACGTTTAAATGTGTGGGGTATAAAATATATATTCTATTTTATACTATTTTTGTTTTTTACAATTCTTCGATGAATGTAATGTTCAAAAGAACAGCATTTATTTGAAAAATAGAAATCTATTGTAACATTATAAATTATTTTACTGTCACGTATGATCAATTTAATGCATCCTTGCTGATTAAAAGTATCAATTTCTTTCCAAAAAAAAACTATACAAAAAAAACAACAACTTTTGGACAGCCAAACTCCCAAATGCAACTCAAATCAGTCTAACATTCTAAGTCTCATTAGCAATCAGCATTTAGCATGGCTCGGGCGAAAAGTTTGTGTGTGTGAAGCCCAACCCTGTCTGTTGCTCTCTGTGTTCCTCACACAGTGCTCTATTGGACAGCAGAGGGTGAACTCCCAGGTAACCCACTCTTCAAGCTCTCTCCCACTCAGTTTAGTGCTGTACACTAGCAGCCCGAATATTTGTTAGCTCCTGTAGACTTCTCTTCGCCACTGCGTGACGGCTAGAGCTGTGACGCAACACAGTCAAGCTTCATCTTTTCATTCATGCAGCCATCTTGGATTTCCATAATTTATTTTGTAGTGGTTGCTGGTTGAACTCTATAAAAGGATTTTGCTCAAATGCACTTGAAAAAGATGCATAATTTCCTGTAGGGATACAAAAACTACTGAAAAATACTACCTACTTTGGTGTCAAGTCAAAACTAAAATTAATAATAAAAATTAATGTGAACTTTTTTAAATTAAATTAAAAGAACAAGCTTGTTTACTTGCATATTACTTTTTGTTGTGGAATCACAATTAGTTTTGAGAGTCAAGCAATTTTGCTGTCCTTGTTAACTATTGAAATTTTGGTATCAGAACCTCAATTTTCATAGACTTGTCATATAAAGACAATCTCATCTGTTTTTTGTTTTTTGCACATACACATGGCATTCTGCAGCACAGAGGCCCACATCTGTGTGTTTGCACTTAGTAGTGACATGCTTCCTGTTTTAGTTCCCCATTACTGAATATTTGGTAGTGGCTGTGTGGAGCAAATACATTCAAAGCATGTTCGTCCATTTGGTACAGTGGACTGGAGAGGGTCCGTGTCTTGAGGTTTGCCTTGTAGGAGCACGGCTGCAGCGTTGTGCGATTTTTGCGAGAATAACTACTTCTGTTAATTTTTGCAGTGCCGATTGCAGGACTCCGAAAGCGGGACAAGCCAGAAAAAGACGAGCAAGGAGTGGAGAGGGTACCACAAGGTGTGCTTCCATTTAACTCTTGTCATACACTCACTGCAGCCATTGTCCAAGCTGATCACGTGTGTATGCATCTCAGGTATACCAGATGAGCCTTCAGCACTCAGGCAGAGCTCTAAGACCCAGTCAGCAGAGGCAATAATGGACAAGTACAAGTACATCATGGAGAAACGACCCACCCACAGTGATGGGGCACTTGCTGGAACTTATATTGGACAAGGTTTGTCATATGATATTATTCATACTATAATATAGAAACACCCAAAATGGTACACACTCTCTTTCTTCTGTATTGTGGAGTAAATAACTGGAAGTAGTGATGCTTCTAACATTTTATAGTAGTCTGATACAGACACTGTAGCTTGTCCTCTCAGGTATTGTCCCCTCATGTGTGGCATTGTCCAAATAATTTTAGTGAATTGGTTTGTGCAGCTGGTTCGTGTTAATACATCAATCATGAGTCTCAAACAAAAAATGTTTTTAATGATTTTTTATCACATAATATTTTATGGAGTTTTTATGTATATACAGAATTGTTTAGTCTTTTTTTTCTCCAAGTTGAATTTTATGAAATTATTTATTTATTGTATTCTTTATATTTATTCAATGTTGAATCTGTATCTGACGTTAAATAGCCTGTGAAGCTGATATGGCATAAACTTCAATACATCAAGAATAATTTACAGATTCATCAGCGAATCAATGTGCAGAAGTTCCTCTCATTATTTTGTAACAAAATGTTCAATTGTGAAATTAAATACGAAGGTATAATAGCTTTTGTTAGCAACTTTCCTATAACTACTTTAAGAGTAGCTTGACTACATTTTTTAAATTGCTTCCCCAACACTGCTTATGTTGCTGCTTACTCTTATCTGTTAGACAAAATGTATCAGTGAAACAGTTTGTCATCTGCTGTTTTGTCACTGTTTTTACAGAGCCTTGTAGAGAAGTAGACAGTGAGCATGACTCCCCTAAAGATGAAGCTCTGCAGAACATCTCTGCAGATGACCTTCCAGACTCTGCCAGTCAGACAGCGCCACCTCAGGACAAGACATTCTCCTTCAGGTCTCTTAGACCAGTGTTTCCCAACCGGGGTGCCGTCTGTCGAGAGCAGGGGTGCCGTGTAAAAAATCCTTTTTTAATATTTTTAAATTGCTAAAATGTTCAAAAAAGCATCTATTATATAATATCCATTTCTGATGTCGCCAATAATTAGAGATGCACCGAAATTCCGGCTGCCGAAAATTAGTTCACCGCTCAGGTTTCACTTTCACGTGGTGTGACGCTCTGCGTATTATCCCGCTCTATGCGTGTGCGCTCCGCTCAGTCGCTCCACTCGTATAGCGTTCATGCGAATCGGAACAGCAAAGTCCACTCAAACATTGAGCCGACAGGAAACATCGATGTAGTACAGTATTGTTTCTGTCTGTAATAGTCCTACTGTGTTGTAACATGGTGTGGTATATGGGTAACTCTGGTAACGCTGCCCTCTCATTCATTGATCTGCTAACCGCT